GCTACTATCAATAGAAATAAGCAGAATTAGCTTTTAAAAAAAAAGTTAATACCTTAACTTTTATAGATAAATTTTAAAGCACTTAAAATTCATCAAGATATTAACTTCCTTTAAAATGTTAAATCTGCTTGATTTTTATAACGGCAGCCCATATTCTTTATCATACATACCCAAGCAGAACACCCTAGGTATTTTACGTATGCAAATATTGATTCGTATAATTGCTTCGCATGTTCATCTACAAGCGTGATTGTTTTCAAATCCCCTTGTTGAAAATAATAAGAATCAACTAATCAACTTTTAAATATAACTCGTACTTCTCAAAAGTGCTTTACCTGACATTTATTTGTGCAGTTTTCAGGTAAAATTTTATAACCTTCACTGAGCCTACTACCTCTAGGTGATGTTGTATCAAAGATGTACAGGTTTAGCACTGAAGGTATTTCCATAAGTGGTACTTGTATATATTAAAGATTTGGCAATAATGGATGCCAAACCATGCTTGGTTTATTTGATTTTACATCACAGCTAATAGTTGAAAAAGATAAGCTATTCATTTGATCGTTTATAATAGACACAGCTCAGCACTATAATTTTGTATAATTTATAGATGATTTTTATTTTGTTATTTTGGCATTGATTATAGTATAGATAAAAAAAAAATCATCTTCTTAAAGAAATTATCCTTTTTCAAAATTTCTAAAAAAGGTGTAGTGGTATATTGCTTTTTTATTTAATAAAAATAAATTTGTTTTATAACTTTAATTTATATAATGATGTTATTACTGTTTACTACATGTCTAACTGAGAAAAGAAGCTCTCTTCCAAAATATTCCAAAAAAGGCATGGCAACATACTATACTATGTAATATAATTAATTTACCATCTGCTTGGTAAAAATAAATCATAATGTTTATCATACATCTGTTAAAAATACATTTTAAACCAATAGTATCTTTTTTCAAAAAAGGTGTACTGGCATATTTTATCCGTTTTCATGAGATTCTACATAAATATCAAATATTGAACCCTGGAAAATTTTGAAATTGGATGTTTAAAAAAAATTTTTTTAAAGCAATTAGGGCAGTGACAGATATTACGTAATATCCTAGGGGGGGGTACCTAGAGATGATATTATATATATATTTTATATATGATCATATATGACGTGGGGGGAGGGGGGTAGCCCCCTTGATAAAATGATATTACGTAATATATGTCACAGCCTTTATACTGAAGACTGGTTTTACTATTTATAGAAGAATATTTTAAAAACTCTTGCACATAACTATAAGCAATATTTTTTTTTTAAAGTGACTTATTTTTTATTTCAAAAAGTGCAAATTACCTCTTTTTGCATGAGTATAGTGTTACAGTTTTTTGAACTGTGACCATGCTGTGGATGGAAAAGTAGCTCATTGTTGGGCTTAAAAGGATAGAACGATTCCCTTATTTATATATTCATTACTTTTATTTATTTTTCTTTTGTTTGTTACTTTTTATATTAATTGTCAAAAGACAAGAAAGGTAAGTATAGATGTAGACAAAAAATCTAGAATGATAGTCTAGTAATAGATGAGTTCTTGCTAGTGTCCAACAAATATGTGATTATTTATAGAAAACAAATTAAAAAGTAGGAATTTAACCTGGTATAAAACTTAAACATCAGGCTTTTACTTTTTTGAATAACTCTATTGGTCTGGCTAATCCAGTTGACATATAAATAATTGATTGATGTTACTAACTTGGTGTCTACTTTTAGCATCTAAGCTTTAAAACTACATTATTTATATGTAATTGCGAGTTACAGATTTGCTGCACTATAATAATAAATCATTTATATCCTATAAATTTACTAATTAATAGCCAGAAGGCTATTTTCGAACCAAAAATCATATGTAAATAAAAATGAATCATTATTTTCTTCTATCTGAAAATTACTATATACTGGTACTTTATTTTATTAAATATGCAGATATACTGTTTATCTCTCATTTAATGAGTTTTCAAATTTAAAATCAGAGAATCTTATTTTATTTTTCTATTTATAATTCAATATAGTAAAAATGCTATCTAAAAATCCTACTTATTTTCGAAATGCATTACTTATTTATTAATTTTGAAACCTCCAATGTTTTATTCGCATTTATTGTCACAGGTCATAATGAAATCTGATTAAAATGAAATATAGGTACTGTATCTATTTAACTTTCTAAAACCCTGTTTGATATAAACTCTATTCTAAAATTAACCTCTAACCTTAACTCCTAACCCTAAAAAATATGCCCAAAATTTCATTTTTTGGGGGCCTATTAATTTTTTTATACTATACATATTTAATTCATCATATTTATTACTAGGGATTAGACTCATTGAGAAATCACTACCCAGGTATTATTAAATTACCCAATTATCTGGATAAATTATTATGTATTTTGGGTAATCATATAGCAACAATTTTTATCCAGGTGAATTATATTCTTTATTTAATAAAAAAAATAGAAACCTAAATTGATCAGTGAGTCGCTTTTATTAGTCTTAAGTAATCTTGTAAATTCTTACCAGAATAACTCTTATACAGGTCTATTTGATGGTCTTTGATAGGGATATTAGTCGATTTAACCTTAGTTGACTTAGTCAACTTAGCCGACTAAATCAGTCAAATTTTTAAAAAACTGGCTTAATTAATTATGCTCAAAATGACCAAAAAGATTAAATTATTCACGATCTAATCCTCAAATTTCATATGCAATTTAGCATTCAATAAATATTCCCAATTTTGTATAAAAAAATATTCGCTTTTAATTGTGTATTCATTTTTGTCTGTGGATATTCACAGATCTCACCTCTAGTGCTATATAACAATATATGGAAATGGAATTCACCTTACTTAATATTTAGTCGGCAAAGCCGGCTTACCGTAGATTCTCGAAATAGTAGGCATCTGTGTGCTATTTTGAATACGTGGGTGCTATTTCGAGTACGCGCATGGGCGTTATTTTGAATATATAGTTGATTTTTTGAAACTGGTTTTTTTTCAAAATAACGCCCATGAGCGGTATTTTGATTGTTAATCAGGATGCACAATGCTTGTAATGCAACGAATGCAGCTCAACACAATATAGTTAAGCATTTTCTATCTTGTGTCTTTCCGTTTAAAGAATGTGGCGTCTAAGATCTACAAAAATAAATAGTTAAATCATCTTCCATGATGCATATAAAAAAGAAACAAAAAAAAAAAATTAATTCGCCAAATTCCAATTTTTGATTCCAATTCTATTCGAATAAAATATTTACTGGTTTCATTTACATTTTACACTAATTTATCAAAAATTAGACATTTGCTTGGACATAATATAATAGTAAATTTTATGTCATAACAAGTCATAAGGTTGTAACGGGTTATCTGATTTCGGGGGGGTTTTTTTTCAATAAATACTTGCACTTTACACTTAAAAAAAAAAAAAAAGAAAAAATTATATTCCGATGTATTCTAATGAAATTGATCTGGGCCACTATGGCTTAATTAAATTAATGTATAGGACTTTTTTTTATTTAGTAACACCAAATCTTTACATGTATAAATTATATGTTTTGCGAACAAATTTCCTGCAAATAAACATGGAAGATTTAGTTCGCAAAAATAGAAGTTTTACCATCGCATTTAAGCTTGAGGTTATAGCATATGCGGAAGACACCTCTAATCGCTGTGCGTCACGCTTTTACAATGTTGACCGAAAAAGGGTTCAAGAATAGAGAAAGAAAAAAACGGAGCTCAAGGCTGTAAAAAACAAAGGTCAAGCGAGAGTCCTTGAAGGGCATGGGCGAAAAGCTATGTACCCTGAATTAGAAAAAGAGCTATTAGATTATATAAAAAAAAAACGGGAGGAAAATATGGCAGTTACAACGCTCATGGTTAGAAGAAAAGCCAAAGAGTTAGGTGAAGCGCTTAGTATTGAAAATGCCCAGTTTTCGCGTGGTTGGGTCATACGTTTTAAGAATCGGCACAATCTGGTAAAACGTGCCCGCACACAAATCGCGCAGAAGTTT